AAACCAAAAACCAATCAACCATGCAAGACCCATGCAAATGCAAACAAGACAATGCAATCAAGCAGATTGTGCATGATCGGAAATGGGGGGGGGACTGAAAAAGCAAACAAATTCTCCAAGACTCATCGGAAATGGGGGGGGATCCAAAAAGCAAGGAAACCCCCCAAGACCCATTGAAAATGGGGGAGGAATCCAAAAAGCAAGGAAACCCCCTAAGACCCATCACACTGCAAAAACACCCACAACAGTTTTTAAAAAGCAGAAAACAGCACATTACAAGGCAGCCCGAAGCCTCCCTGCAAACACACACACACACTCAGAAGCAGAAGGAGGCAGTCCCAAGCCTCCGATGATGACGCACGCTCTCTAACTGGTGGGGCAAAAGAGCTACAAGAAGCAGCCTTGTCAGCACCTACAGTTAGAAATTTGAATTTTGAATTTTGAAATTTGAATCCTGTCTTATTTCAGAGTTACTAATCTGTTTAGATTAAATGGGAAAATATGGTTAACTTTATGGTTAGCTTTATGTTTTGATTACAGTGTGCTAGAAAAAGAAGAGAGAAGGCAAAAACCTTATAGATTTTCAGAGCTTATTAAGTTAAAGCATGGATTCCCCAAATATATGTTCCCTAACAAAGTATTCTTATTTCACAGCCACTAGTGGTAGTAATTACGTAGAGGTGTAACAATTGGTGCTTTTGGATTAACACTCCCAGAATTCCCCAGGCAGTTTCTGTCTGAGGAATTCTGGGTTTGGTAGTCTAAAAACACAAATCTACACATCTCTAGTAATGATTATTTTAATAAGTGTTTGTAGGACTTACTCATTCTTTCTCTAATAAACAGATTAAGACTAAGAAATGGTAATTTTCATACTTCCTGACAAACTTCATGGGTGGATGAGCAGAGACCTCAACGTGAAATTTTCCACTTTCTAATCCAGCCTTGTTAGCTCTACTATGTTAGGCTGCTATTGCTGATTGTTGACTGTCTCTGCGGTAGGATGGAGGACATCTAATACATTTTGTTTTGCAGTTCTCCGTAAAGCAAAATATGTTAAACTAAAATGATGGCTGCATAATACTTATCTCCTAGATAAACTATATGCAAATTTTTTCTTGAACTATCTGAAATCTCACAAGTAGAATCCTTGAATATCTAAGAGACTTATTCCCATTAAATTATTGTTAATTTTGATTTAATTTTCTGGACTAGAGATAGACAATGAACATAACTATTATTCTTGTACTGTGGGGAGCATACATAATCATTTGCTTTTGTTAGTTGCATCAAAGGAAGACACATATCACTCTTTGCAACCATGTGCTTTTAAAGCAGTTTCTTTCAAGAGCTATTTATTGGCTGAAAAACCATTTTGGTTTATAAAATGTTGAAGGAGGGTGAAATGTTCTATCCAGGTATCTTTGGCTATCATAATTCTGCTGCACAATGGCTAGTATCTTGTTCTGTACTTACACACATCTGAAGTGCCAGTTGGGGAAGCTGCTATAACTGTCCAACAAAGTGGAATGCATTCGTTCTGCATGCATAAATTTTGAATAGGATATCTGTCAATGGGGAATAGCATTCTTCTAATGAAGCCGTGCTTTTTACAGTAATGGATCCTATTGTCTCCCTTTCCTAGGTTTCTATGCCAGCAGCTCATGCAACATCTTCTGCTCCTACAGTGACCTTAGTACAACTCCCTAACGGGCAGACAGTTCAAGTCCATGGCGTTATTCAGGCGGCACAGCCATCAGTCATTCAGTCTCCACAAGTCCAAACTGTTCAGGTACATATAAAGGAATTTCAGAACCATGTTATCTCATGAAGTATAGTAGCCTGGGTTTTATTAGTCAGCATAAGTCTAGGGCATGTCCATTTATGTTGTTGAAATATAATTTTAAACATTCCCTTACAGCAACTCTTCTCTCCTGTTTCTTAGATAATCAATAATTTGCTATATAATTATGCTATGTAAAATGAAACAGTGATTTCAAAACAATATGTGCAGGACAGGGCTGGTTTCCTGAGAGCAAAAATGGATCCTCTGAAATAATTAAATTTGGCTTCATTCTTTTAAAAAAATTCTTTTTGATCTTGTCCACCTCTATGAGGTATATAAATCAAGAGGAGATTTGCAAAGAACACAAAGCATAGGCAGGATCTAGCATGTTTATAGAAGAAGTACTGTGGTATGGAAGGCTACTTGCTGGAAAAGACCCAGCAGTGTTGTAATGAGCTGGTAAAAATGTATAGAACAGAGAGGTGTTGAAATATAGTTTATTTCACAGAGCAACCAAATGACCAGGGTACAAGGAAGAGGACTTCAGACAAGTAGGAAGGATGGGATTTTCATAATTCAAAAGACATCAAGCCTTTAAAGCCACCTGGAATCCCTGCGGTAGGGACTGGAAGAGGAGAAACCAGAAAGCAAAAGAGATGTCTTTCTATCACCATTGTTGCTTCACTCCACATGGTTCAGCTGGAAAGAATAGGGGAGCATCCCTTCAGTCACTCCTTCCAGGAAGTTCCTTCACTACTCTGTAGGATGGTATTTTGCTAAGAGGCTCTCACTATGGAGTCTAGTGAGTAGTGAGACTACCCTACCCATTTACCACTCGGGTGATTCCCAGGAAACACTGCAGCTAAGGGGGTATTCCCTTCTGTTTCCCATCTACCATATATCTGTGGAGAGAAGCAGAAAATGGAGGTAGAAAATAATCTCTTTTGCCTTCTGGTTTCTCCACTCCCTGTCTAAGAAGTCTGCCTGATGACTTTTGGGACTAGAAGTCCTAGATTTATGGAAATTCCACCAATAACTAGTAGTATATGATGCACAGTTGATTGTCTATACCTTGGAAGAGCAAGCATGGCAGTGGATGGAGCTGTAACCGCATCTCTGTAGGGATGTTTCCCCCAACTTGACAAGACTCAAATATCTTGTGAGATGAGAGAAAGAGCATGTGAAGTGTGCCTGGCATCAAATGATGAGGATTCTTCCTGGTTCATGTATAAAGCCAGTGATGAGGGCTTTATAACTCTTTCATGTCTTGCTTTACAGTATAACCCTCTACTTTTATACGTGAAACTTTTTGTGGGAAAAGTAGGGAGTGGAAATCAGGCAGTCGTGTTTTTATTCCAGAGCTGCCTTTTCATGATTTCTTGCTGAAAAGACATATGTGTGTATCTGGTCTCAAGACTTAGTGTCTTGAGTGTCTTACATCCTTATATGAAGCATATTGCATGAAAGAGAGAATGTATTTTGATTGGGGCAGGTGCCCATTCATCAGTTTAAACCCCTTTAGTTTAGGAAGTTGCTACTTGTGGTAAAAATAAAAGAAGTTCTTTGTGGTCTCTGAATCTCACATACGGGAATCTTTCCATACCTGTTCAAAAACCCCTTCTGACAGAAGTTCATCCTGCTCCAATTCCAAGAAAACCTATGGAGGCAACTTCAGTGCCTTCTCCAAAGCTATAGTTAGTTCGACATCGAGGCCTTCTGAACTGACGACTGAATATTGTCATGCGGATTCAGTCTTGCCTTCCTCTGAATCCTCCAAACTCGATTGACACCAGACCCGCAACCCCATTCCCCCTTGGCAGATCCTTCTATTAAGAAACACACAGAAATGCAGCACTTCAACACTGAAGTTGAAATCAAAGACATCCTCAAAACCAGCAACTAAATGATCAAAGGATGCTGTAAAACACTACAGTAGAAAACCAAGTGAAAGACAATCTTTCTAGGTTTGCTCCATCTTCATCGAGCATAAGGAAATGTAAATCAGCCACTATTTCTGAGGAAAAAGAAAAAAAGAAATTAGTCTTACCTCACACTCAAAAGTTTCAGATTCTGATGATGACTCCTCAGATAACTCTCCATCTGTTCTGGCTACTGCCTCAGAATCAGATGTCCGGGACACAAATCCACCCTTCCCTTCTGAAGATTTTCAGTCCTACTTTCAGTCTCATAAACTGGAGATCATCACCTTCTTGATCAGATCCAGCATATGATCAAATAAATAAGAACATAACATGGTTACACCTGTACATATTGGCATCTTACCATCCTTACTAGACCTGGGAAAGGAGCCTTGGGCTAAACTGTCCTCCCTACTACCAATATTCAGAAAGGTTAAGAACTTTTATAAAAGTCAAGATGATGCCTCTTTCCTCTCCAAACACCGAATTCAGTCATTGTGGAGGCGTCCCAGATAGGATCAAAGGGAAGGAATAACACTACTCCTATTAACAGGGAAGCCATTAAATAGATATAACTGGCAGAAGGATATATGCATCAGGGAATAAGAATGGACACTTACCAGTCTGCAGTGGGAGCCTACCAGATTTCTGTGGAACAAGATCAAGCCCCTTTTGAGAAGTTTTCTAGAGCACTGGTTTCCAACCTTTTCTGAACCGTAGACCAGTTGGGGGGGTGTGTGTCCGTGTACATGGGGGGCAGGGCATCTCCCGTACTCATGGGGGTGCTTGTGGATGGGCGGGGCACACTCACATGCATGTGTGGGTAGGCAGGGCATGCTTGCACAAATGGGGAGTGCAGATGCGCGGGGCATGCTCACGGGGGGCTCGTGTGCATTCGTGGGTTGGAGAGGCACACTCGTGGGTGGGCAGGGCACCAGTGCATGCGGGTAGGCAGGCCGTGCGTGCAGGTGGAGTACGGGGGGAGTGTGTGCAGGGGGGACAGGAGATCTGTCTCCGTGGCCTGGTCCTGCCATGGCTTTTAGCTATTTTTTCTGTAACTGTATAAATATTGGCCAGAATCCTAGTGAAAATTTACACTAGAGTTAAGTATAATTGCATAGACTATAGTGGTGGTTACAACTGGCAAGTGATCAGGAGCACAAATGGCAATTCATTAATAAGTAGCAATTTGGTGCTGCGATTTATACAGTTATGTTTTTGCTAGCATAAACCTATAATAGGATTCTGACCAATACGTTATTTGTTTCAATCACCACATCCGCAGAATGAAATTGTTTTGATAAGGGTAATAGTTTTCCCCTTGTGGATTATGAGTTCTGCAGTTTCTTTTGCTAGTACGTCCAGTCATTAAAGCTAAATTTTAGATTTATTCAGTATGACAGATGAAACCCAGGAGAATACAACTGACATGATTGGAATGGAATTTCTAACTACAGTGAAATGAGATAAGAGACAGATAGTAAAAGTGGTTGGTATTTCAAAGAAAAAGATTAAAGACAAGAATGCAGTAGGAATGCTGTAATATTAAGTCAACTGTTTCACAATTCCTCTTGGTTCCATTAAACATTGTACTGTATTAAATAGGAAATGGGCTATATATTTCTAGTCTCTTAAGTTCCTTATGTTCCAAAGGTGAAGGAAGCTATCAAATTTGCTAATATGCATACACATGGAATTTTTGCATTGCTGAAGTGGGGGAAATGCAAACTTTTGCCACTTACTGTACTGGATTGTGCTCTACCGCTTTTAAATGTGTTTTAGTATTGATTTTATTTACCTTTTTTTAATATGATAATTGTTTATTTTTTTAATATTTGTATACTTACTGTCCCTAGCTTTTAAATATTGTCTTTTTAATTATGTAAGCTGCCCCGGGTCCTTTTGAGGAGACAGATGGAGTAAAAATATTTTAAATAAATAAATATTATGTTTTCATATCTGTCAACTAATCAGTACAGCAGTCTATATCTCCTATCTGAAACAAAGTGCTTCTATTGTTTTTGACATCCCCCTTTTTTTTCCCCAGAGGTCAGGGTTCATGGAAATCTATACTACCAGAGACCAAGTTTGAAAATATTTGAGAATGTCCAAAATGATATTTTCTTAGACTGCAGAGTTTTCTGAGCATATCCTAACTACAATCTTTTGCTTGTTAAATATGTTTACAGTGGTAACATTATTGTGCTTTTATACCTAGATCTCTACTATTGCAGAAAGCGAAGATTCACAAGAATCTGTGGACAGTGTCACAGATTCCCAGAAACGCAGAGAAATTCTCTCCAGGCGACCTTCCTACAGGTAGCAATTAAGTTTTTGCTACATGCACACAGCAGGTTAACATATAAAGGAGTTGTCAGCAACCCTTAAGGATGCATTCTTTTTGTAATTAGTATCTAGTGGCATGCCAAGCAGAACTCAAGTATGCAGGCTTTTTAATGTTTTCTTACCAGTTTCATTGCTACACAAAATATAAAGCAAGGTTTACAATCATAACATATAAGTGGTGGAGACATCTTGACATCTGCAACAAGCTTATTGATGGTAAACATCATCTGTTCTTTTAGAACAGTCGTTTCCAATGTTGTGTAACCCAGGTGTTCTTGGACTGTAATTTCCAGAAGTTTTCATCACCAGCTGTGTTGCCTAGGAGTTGCAGAAGAATCCTCAGGTCACCCAGCATTGGGAACCATGCTTTAGAAGATGAAGGGGAGCTTCTGGCCCTTGTGTCAAATTTGCCCCCCCCAAGCCTTCCTTTCAGCAGTTGAATAGACCCATTCCCTGCCAGAATTTCTATCCTCTCAGGTAGTCGGTTGGGGGCCAGAGGGTAGCCTGGCATGTCAAAATATGTAGACAGGTATGGTGCCCATTTTGGCAAATGGCCCCATCTACTGCTATTCCATCACCCCAGTGGCCAGGCCTGTGGCTGATTTGACCCATGTACCAAAAATATATTTCTACTCTTCAGTTAGAGCAGCATATTCATAATTTTTTTTCATTTTGGATTATGTTTTTAATAATTGTCTTGGCTCCAAACTATATAGTTTTGCTTTGTGGAGATTTTTGTTTTACAGCAAGGGGGGGATATTATTTGTAAACAAGCTAAATAAGCATTGAGAAGCTTGATGGTTATCTGCCCCTGCCTTCTTCACTCATTCCACTCCTCCTTCCTTTTACTATCATTTCTGCCCTGGAAGGGCATCCCCAAAGGATGAGCTGTGTACATCCTATCTCCCTTCCACTCTTAGAGCTAGTAACTCTTGAAGGCTAGAAGACAGATGATAATGGATAACCCTTTACAATGATGGCACATGAAAGATCTCATTCTCCCTTCTAGTCTCAGATACTCAGATGTTAATTGTTTAGTGTTCACCTATAAATTGGTATTTCTGGCAGGGGTTCCAGTTTTGTCATTTATGTAAAATTCAGGTTTTCATTTTCTATGAATGTCCAACTCTTCCCCCATAATGTCTTTCTGGACCTTGATCATCTTATCTTTTGTCTTTCTACCTAATAATGCAGTTTGGGCTTTTTGATTTTATTTACTTCTCAAATGTAGTCTGGTGCTGTTAGTTTGGTATGGGTGGTGTTTGCTCCCCCACCACTTCATGCATGTGCCCAAGAGCGCACACATACCTGCACCTGCAGGGGCCCCCCACCTTCCTCAGAGGCTCAGCCGTCCACAGTCCCAAAAACGTTGGGGACCACTTGCTTAAGCAGCAGTAAAAATGGATTTGAACAATTAATGGAGGAACAATGCCATGAATCGTTCTTAGCTATAATTGTTAAACAGAACCTCCAGATTTAGATGCATCTGAACAGTGGTTGCCATAGGGATAAATGGCAGGACAGGGCTGCTGCTTTTAAGTCCTTCTTTTGGGTTTCCCATGCTGCTAACCACAGTTGGAAACATGGTTGCATGATCTGATATAACAAATTTATTAATCAGTGTAAACAACGTCTAGACTCTAGAGTATCCCGTCTGCCACAGATGGCTGGTGACTAAAGTAGGGAGGTTATTATCCTTCCAGATTTGGGGATAATGCCCCCACCTCGGTCTGTGAGCTGCTCCATCCCATCTCCAAAGTTCTCTTCCCTACATGTTATTGTATACAGTAATTTGGTGTACCTTGTGCTGGCTTACAAATATGCTAGCTACTAGATGTGAGTAAAACAGCACTTTGTATCTTTTCCATTTTAGAAAAATCTTGAACGACTTGTCCTCAGATGCCCCTGGTGTGCCAAGGATTGAAGAAGAAAAGTCTGAAGAGGAAGCAGCAGCACCTGCCATCACCACGGTCACTGTGCCAACTCCAATTTACCAAACAAGCAGTGGGCAATATAGTATGTGGCTTGTGGCTTTCACTTGGCAATTGGGGAGGGAGAATACAGTGCCTTAATGTACATTCCGTGGCATAAGTTTGATGATATCAATGGCTGAGGCAATTTTTTGGAAGTTAATCATTTCTTCCTCCCATCTCCTGGCCCCCATGGGCAATCTCCAGCAATCCCTGGAAACCTATGTGGTAGGAAGGGGAAGTCTATAAAGACTATATCTTATCCTAACAGCATTGCTGGAATGGCAACATTAAAAAAACCCACCTTTCATGATAAAACTCTTGTAGCACACACAGCACATCAGCAGGACCTGGAAAAGGGAGCAGTGTCAACCAAACAGATTTATACACTCTCCAGAGTTAAGCTCTTAAAAAAAAAAACACTTCTCAGGAGCTTAGTACAATCTTCTGTCTGTCCCATGAGAGTGCATGTTACCAGGATGACAATGTCCATGCATAAGCCAAAGAAATTTAACTCTGGAGCATTTTGTTAATCTATTATGTCAGGACAGCAAGAACTGCTTGACACAAGCAGTCAGGGTGAAGCAATAAGGTGACTGCATGCCCATTTACTTTTGGTTGACATTAGTTTTGTCATAATTCTTCTGCAGCTGCCGTTTCCCTCAAGCATACTTTCATGGTGTAATTTCAGCCAACACAAGAGAAGGTTTGCCGTGTGATCATCATTATGTGGCAGACTTTAAAAGCTGGGAGGGAGTATTAAGGAGATAGCACTTGTAGTGATTGTTTCTCCTGGTCCCTGACATGGCCTGGGTTTTCTTCTAGAGATTGGTGTTGCTGATGTCCACCATAAATATGGCCATGTTGTACATACTGGTATTGTCTTAATTAATGGATTGATGTATATGTGCAAGAGCTGAAAGGTCTGTTCTAGAAACAAAGCTGAAATGTGTGTTCTAGAAACATCAAATGAGGGACCATGTGAATGATATTTCCACTGCAGTCTGAATGAGGACTGCTGTGACAAACAGGAATTCCATTTGGTGAAATTAGCAGAAAGGAGAATCAGCTATATGTGAAGAAAAAAAAGAAGGGAACAATAACAAGGAAATCTAATTATGAAAAGGCTGCAAATGAAAAGTCAAAGGATATAACCCTGTACTATAGAGGAAAACACATTATCAACCATTGAAGTAAGAGAGCTTGCTCTAGGCCTGTGCAAAGCTTTGTCCCCAGATGAGTGTGTGTGTGTGTCACGTTGATAGCCCCTTGAATTAGTAACTGCCACCACCTCTGCCTCCCTCGAGATGAAGAAAACCCTTCCTTACCCAACAGATGGGAAGATTTCATTTGCTGCATTTGTCCCCTTCACGGAGACTGCAAAGTGCAGTAAACTGAAGGAAGCCCAAAAAAAACACTAAACCCAATGGCTTCCTTTCCACTTCCATAACTGGAGAACTGTGGCATGTGAACCAATCAGATAGGTAACAAACAGGGTGGATTAGATTTAACGAAGAACTAAATTTCATTAAATCTTAAAAGATTTACAGCACATTCAAAACAGAAAGATCAATGCAAGGTAGAAAAATCACAGGTAGATCTGTGCTCACACTATGCAAGGTAGAAAAATCACAGGTAGATCTCTGTGCTCGCACTAAAAAAATACAAAGTGGTAAAAAAAGAAAAGGCATGTAGTCATTTTTATATAACCAGCATAGCCAGGACAGTATCCTAATTCCTGGTGCAAACTAACTCATTACACCCTTGATTCTAGCCACAGCCATCTAGTTGTTTCTCAACCTCCATTGCCTTGAAATAATCTCTCCCATAAATCCAGCTGAAAAGAAAGAGCCAAGAGACATTTCTTGCTGGTAATCTAAAATTCCTCAATGAACTTGATGGATGATACCTGTGAAGCATCAGCTAATACTTGTGGGTCATTAGTAGCACCACCACTGACAGCACAGTCTACCTTTTAAAGGTGTTAACTCTTTCTAACCTTTCCAGACCTGTATGTATAAACAATAGGATTTTTTTACATCTGTTGTTGCATATTGATATGGCTCAATCTGCTGTCTTGACAGCCTGTCAGAAATAAACTGTTAATTTTGATTACTTTTTCAGAATTAATCAGATTTTGCTTATGATGCATGTTTTCCAGTATTGAAAAACTCAAGGAATCACACAGCAATACCTAATGATTATAAAATACAGTAGTTGAAGATAAAAATCATAAACACAAAATAACACCTCTAGAGACTAATAACATTTCTCAAATTATACTTTGCTACATAGTGAGCAAAACTGATTTCACCCCCCAAAAAATTTACTAACAGGATTTTTGCATGCATGTGGCTATAAATGCTGACAATTAGTGCTTAGAAACCTGGTTTACAAAACATACTTGTTTTACCTATCAGAGAAATAGAGCTTATACATTCCAGAAAGGGAAAAAACATCTAAAAGTGGTATTAAAAAGAAAGTGCATAGGCATTCACTTTCGGCCAAAACACTGGGCCAAGAAACACAAAGATAACACAGGCAAAGAGGGGTGACACTTTTTAACACTGCTATAGCAGTGTAAAAATCAATCTAAATAAATTTCTGTATTAGCTACTAGGATTATTGCACCAAAACAATCTGTACTCAATAACCTTTGCAGTGGATGCCATTGTTTGAAACCACAGTATCATCACATACAAAACAGGGCATGAAAGCAAGGCTTTTTAAGCAGATTGACTTTTGAACTACTTACCTGACAAGGGGACTGAGAACAGCTGAATATATGACAGTGAGGCAGTTAATAGTCTGACTGCTGACAAGTGCCTCTTTGCTTTCAGTTGCTATCACCCAGGGGGGTGCAATCCAGTTAGCTAACAATGGCACAGATGGAGTCCAGGGCCTGCAGACTCTAACCATGACCAATGCAGCCGCAACCCAGCCTGGCACCACCATTTTACAGTATGCACAGACCACTGACGGACAACAGATTCTTGTACCCAGCAACCAGGTTGTTGTACAAGGTAAGTTATTTTGTGAAATTAATTCTTCCACTGATAATTGTCATGCCCATTTCAAATTCTTGGAGCAGAAAAGAATCAGCAAAAATTGGTTGATGATAATGATGCAAAAGTGCTTTGGGTTCTTCCAGCAATAATGGATAATACTCAAAATAGTTTACCTATGGCAGACAAAAAAATTTTGTTTAATTTCCAAGTAATACAGTCTAGCGCAATGGTTTCTACTGTCTAGACCAGCTGTGGTTGGACTGTAGTTCCGAAAATCCCATACCACTGGCTATGCATTTGAGGATTCATAGGTGGGAGCTAATGTTTTAGATAATAGTGTGTTGTTTGAACAAAAAAAGATTATTTGTCCTCCAACATTTGCTTTCTGGTGACAGTCTATCATTGCAGTGACCAGGTAGAGCAACGTGGCGCAGTGGTTAAACTGCAGTACTGCAGCCAAAACTGTGCTCACGACCTGGGGTTCAATCCCAAGTAGCTGACTCAAGGTTGACTCAGCCTTCTATCCTTCTGAGGTCGGTAAAATGAGTACCCAGCTTGCTGGGGAGGGGCAATGTGTAGCCTGCTTGAAGCACTATGGGGCAGTATATAAGCAGCATGCTTTGCTTTGCTTTATTCTTTGTATCTGGAGGAAAGAATTATTTCAAAAGTACTTTAGTCGATGAAAGTGAACAACTAAGAACTTCCTAGTTCTACTCTTATGGGTCCTAGAAAGATAAGAAATTAATGCTTGATTGAACATGCCAGTTCAGTAAGAAAAAATACATGCACATAGGAAAAAGTAATGTTTCTGAATGGCAAGAACAGAGAATCGGGTAAAAATGCAAAAGGAGGACCTTGACAGCAGCATAGTGTATCATGTGGCAGGAGTGTTAGAACAAGCAGGAGAAGCAGTGCCAATGGATGCAGAGGAGGCTGGTGAGGAGTGGGACCTGAATGTGAAGAGGCAGAAGGAACACCTGGGGGGGACCAAGGAAGCTGCTTGGAGATGGAGTTATCCTTTCACTCAGAGTAAGAGTCTGGGTGGGAGATACAGAAGAGGGAGCTAAGAGGAAAGGAAATGACTTGAAGTAGGATTAGAAAGTCAAGAGTAGGAAAAGTAGCAGGGTTATAAGATGGAGAAAGAGGGAGAGAAAGATTAGGAGATCAAAGGTGCTATGAAGAGCAAGACTTCACAAGGGTATTATGTAAATAGTGCCTAGTTACCTGAACCAAAGCATTACATGTTTTGGAATATAATATGAAAGCAGTATTGAGGTGCCATTAGGAAGAGGTATGCTGTCTGAATGGGAAATGGGTAACCCTTGTTCAGACTGTCGTCTTAATAGTGTAGATTTCGAAAGCTCAGATCTGACACTTCTCCTCTCCCTCCATGTCTTTCCCCTCTTAGCCGCCTCAGGAGATGTCCAGACCTACCAAATTCGCACAGCACCCACAAGCACCATTGCACCTGGCGTTGTCATGGCATCTTCCCCAGCACTTCCTACCCAGCCGGCAGAGGAAGCAGCAAGAAAGAGAGAAGTCCGTCTAATGAAGAACAGGTTTGTTTACTGTACAGAGTCAACCACCAATATATTTTGCTGAAGGTAGACTAGCAAATCCTGCTCCCAAGCCCCTGGCAATCATGTTGTCATGTGGTACAACTGAAGGTATAAGTACACAATGAGCATATTTAAGGCAGCTTCAGTACAGTCAGTATTTCATTTTGAGGCCTAGTCTATAGGCCTTGTCATGAAGTATAAGAACAGTCAAGTATCTATCTTCCTTTCAAACTATACCCTAAAATTACTTTGCTTTAAAAAAAAAATTAAAAAAGGGGAAAGAAATGAAAAAAAGTGCCAACAATTTCAACAAAAGCCAGAGCGCCTGTAAAAAGGAACAATTGAAAGTTACTTGTACAACTTACATAGTTTCCACCTGCAAGTCATTTCTAGCCAGCAGCAGAATGTTGTAGATGGAATCTCCACCACACCTTTCTACAAAAGGCCCTGAGTGGTAGGGTAGCATCTTAACACTACTGTATTTGAAATAGTTTGAACACTTTGTGAATGAGTTCACTTGTATAAGTATCTGAATAACATGTGTCCTGCAGTCTAGGGAGCTCTAACAGCACTTCGTCCTTTATCTTGTATATTGTCTGGCATTAGCTTTTAAGCAATCTGTTATGTTGTTGTTTTATTGGGTTTTATGGTGGGGTTGGTTTTACTTGATTTTAATGATTTAATGATTAAATTTGCTTTAGTAGTTTTCATTCATTTGTGAAGATTATAAGCCATTTGGGGTGCTACTTTGTAGTAGAGAGGCAGGATAGAAATGTAATAAATAATGGGAAGATTTAAAAAAAAATTTAGAATTCACCGGGAAAAATGTCATACGGGAAGAGGAGACCTGTATCTCATCCTTGTTTCCATTGTCTTTTGCTTATTCTGATAGCAGCTACTCATATTGGCTATATAAACCACTTGAAATAGAAGTGTTTGTATTCTTTGTGTCACAAGATAATAAAGCTATAGCTGAAATCCAGTAGTAAGTTATAGTTAGAGTAGACCTATTGAATCAGTAGAACTTACAGAGGAGTTGACTCACCAAATCCCCACTGATTCATTGGGCCTAATCTAGTAGCAGCTTACTACTGGATCTCAATTTTGTTTTGTTAAAATCACAGTACCTAAAAGGGTCTACCGTCCCAATAAACATTTACGTACTTCTGGGAGGAACAGCAGAGGAAAAGCCTCTGACTCAATGAAGATGAAAACCAAAGCCCACACTCATGGCACATGAGCTCCAAAACTGGGCCATCTTTTCTCTTTTCTGCCCTTTCCCTGCCTTGGCTGCACAGAAGAACCCTCTGGCAAGCCAGATGAGAGCATTACCTGTACTGCTGGCCAAATGCTTAAACTGGCTGGTAGGAGGGTGCCAACAACTGAGATGTGGAAAGAGGGAAGAAGAGGGCATGCTGAGAAGAGGTGGAACAGGCAGCTTCTCTCTGCCTGTGGGTGGAGGAGTTGGTGAGAAAGGCATCCAGGCAAGACAAGGGCGGGCAGGCTGAAGCTGTTCTCTCAGCATTTTGCTTCCCACCAGATACAGGTAGGAGTGGTGGGTGTGCAAAAGGTAAGCAGCTGCTGGCTACCATTGTGCCTTCTTCTCCCTCTTACAGGGCAGGCCCCAGATAAAGCAAAACATAGCCAGGCCAGCAGAGAACATTGCGGGTTTGTTTGTCCCTGCACATGTGTCTGGATGTGCACGGACAGGCACTCTTGCTAGCTTAGGAGGAACCGGTCAGAATTTCCTGCCATGGAAGATGATGTCATCACTCTAGCTCTGAAAAAAAAAAAGGCTGGAGCTCTGCTCCCTTGATTCTGGCATCACTGTTACATGAATCTAGCTTCTGTCTCTATGCAGAGAAATTGACAGTTTATATATGCATGTTTCACTGAAAATATGTAGTTTTTGACTACTTAATGAAATGGATTTTTACTTTCTGTCATCGATACACTGCTGTCAGGCCTACATTGTTAAAGGAAAATGTATAGTAGATGGATTTTTAACAGAGCAGCATGAGAGGGTCTGACAGGTCTCATTTGGCAAGGGACTTGGTCTTCTTTAGTTTGTCATACTCCACTGGCACCTTCCTACTCTTTTTTCTCATTTCTCCTTTCAGGATGCTTTTTGTTTGTGCCTTTTATTGAGTCTATCAGAAATGTTAGAACTCTGTAAAATATCTTGCTTGACCTGTCTGGAAGAAGAATTCTGACTTCTGTCTCTCACCCCCCCCCTTTACTATGCTATTCAGATCATTGTGCCAGCCCTAATAAAGTTGAATATCAGTGATTCATATTTGCACATCAACCTGATTTGAGATATCCTGTTTTGCCTACAGGGAGGCAGCACGCGAATGCCGCAGGAAGAAAAAGGAATATGTCAAATGTCTAGAAAACAGAGTGGCAGTGCTTGAAAACCAAAACAAGACATTGATTGAAGAGCTAAAAGCACTTAAGGACCTTTACTGCCACAAATCGGATTAATTTTAGATCTCCAGTTTTTGTTCATTAATGCAGAGAAAGACTGGTTTGGTGACAGCCAGAAAGACGAAGTGGATTTTTTATTTTCTAAACATTTTTTTTCTACGCGCAAAACTGCCTGACAGCAACTGCAGAATTAATTCGTCTGTGCTTTGCATTAAACTGTGAATGTTGAAACACCTGCCTCCACCTCTCCCCCATTCCCTCCCTCCACTATTTTCATCACTAGTGTATCCTGAGTCTGAAGAAGAACTGACTTTGTCATCTCCCATTCTCTTCAAGAAATACTTACATTCACTTATGTTGCAAAATTTCTGGGGTTGGGGGCATGTCATAATGATCTTAACAGTTAGTGCTGTGCTCGTTTGAATGGAATGCCTTAGTAGTGGTCACCCCAGCCTCTGCCCTGACGGGTCTGCTGGGCTACATGCATAACCAAGGTATGATGCACTGAGGAAACTGGGGCTGTCACTTGTTGCATGGTTTCGGATGTCTGATATCAAAACTATACAATTTACAGTTACTGGGTGGGATGATGCCAAAGGATATGTGTTACTTTAGGTGTATGGGTTTCAAAGTAGGAGGAATTGTATGAGCGTACAGAAGAATGGTTAGGGAGAGGGCAGGTTGGTCTCCTGCAACCTCTGTCTGGTTAGTCAACATTTTTCTATACTGAAAAGATTATTACCCTGATTTTCTGTAATTTTGGAAGAATTGTCATGTATTTGGTTATCTGAATATACATATAGAAATCATCAAATACCTTTGAGGTACTGATGAATCCTGAACTCCTAGAAACCAGTAGGGTAGGAACAGTAAAGTAGAAAACAGTGAAACTGTTACACAGAATAATTCATTAAAGCACTACCTTTTGTTGTTTTCTGTCCTAAGACAAGATTCCCCAAGGCAGAAGCATAACCACCATAATGTGCATTTTATGTGAAAAAAGAAAAATGCACAGCCATGCTTTCTATATCATGGAAATTCTACCTTTTAGAATTGTCCCTTTTTAGGCCCTCCCCTTGATGCTCCTTAAAAAGGAGCCAATGTCAGTTCACACTTTTCAGTGCAGGTGATGTGGTGGAGAAAAATATCTGTTAAATATTTGCCTGTTGTCTTGTTCAGCAATGTGAAATTTTTGCAATGAACTGACTTCCCAAACTTTGACAGCCAGGTCTACAACCCACATATGCCAGCTAGCTCACGGAGGACTCTGTGAATCTTCAACATTTATCTGTTTAGAAATAATGGCGATTACCTACAAAAAAATTAAATCAACCTATAGTATCAAACTACCAACATGAATCTGACCAAACTCTGGGAGGCAGTGGAAGACAGGAGGGCCTGGTGTGCTCTGGTCCATGGGGTCATGAAGAGTTGGACACGACTTAATGACTAAACAACAACATAGTATCAAAAAGAAAGCAGCTATCTTTTCCCTAAAATGCTTTGCAAGAATCTTAAGTATAACATGATTGCTACAAGTCCTCTGATAGTAAACCATTGGATTCTTGGAGAAATGGTTGGCTCTTCCAGAGGTAAAGTGGGATCACTTAGAGAATGTACAGTACTTTTATTCTGAATCTCTAATCTCAGATTGTTATGCATACAATGTATGCATAACAATTGATAATCTCAATTCTTATGTATACAAATAAGTTATATGTAAAAGCCTGTAGGGAAAAACAATCTGCTCTTGCTACAGTATTAGCTAATAGATCTTCTAAAAGGTTTTTTTTTAATGGCATATTTGAAAGATTGTATCAGGTGAGTTGAATTCCTTTACCAATGTTATAGTAATAATCATATGGCATGAAACCAATTCTGATTGATAGCTACCCTTTTTCAGGGTTTTCTAGCTAGAGAGTACTGTACTTAGAAGGGGTTTACCGTTTCCCTTCTGGGGACATCCTGGGACTGCCACTTGCCCAAAGGCCACACAGTCTGGCTCTGTTCTTTCAAGACATACTGTAATTGCTTAATAAACTTCTTCTTGCTGTTTTAAGATTGTGAGCTACATTTGGCAAATTAAAGGAGGCAAAATAGAAATATACAAATTAATAAGAAATTCCTATCTTTGAAACCCTCTTTAAAAATTTAAAAAAGCAGATTCTTGCAACGATTTGGGAGCACAGATTACATAGAACTCAGATCCACCATTTTTACCTGCATCTGTCTTGCAGAATTACAATAGAATCATGAATGTTGATTTTGCAGATGTCCCTTTTGTATTGCTGTTTTTCTTGAAAACCATTGTATGCCATGTTCTTGGTTTGGATTTTTTTTTTAATCTGACTGTTTCTGTCTGATAAATCTGTAAATTGTATAAAAATGAGGCAATAATCCTAAGATTTGTTTTCTATAGACAGTATCAGAAAGGCAACCACAATCATTTTTGGCATCCTCCAGGATTATCTGGGACAGTTGTATTTCAGCAGAGAGGCCATCAGAAAAATGGGTTACGATGGGCCTGTCCCTTCTTCAGAGTGGTCTTTCCAGGGTTTGAGCAGTCTGCTTCACTATACATTGCTTGCAGTTTTAAAGTATCTGTTGTGGGCTGTTCTATAGGTAAATTCAGGGTTTTTATTCTGGACTCTTTCACCAGCAATAAGATAACATTTTAGTCAATTTTTACTTACCCAGTACTGAGATATTTGAAGACATGACATTCCTTTATGTAATAGAAAATATCTTTTCATTATTAACCCAAGTACAGAGCTGGTTAGTTTACCAGAGTGTGCTTTAAATTTATAATAGCCAAAAGGAGCAGCAGACAGTGTGAAAAAAATGAACTATCATTTTGTATAGTGTATTGCTGATTTATTGAGTTAAGAGAAAGATCTTTGTTAACTCCTTTCTCTTTAGCTTATTTGCTACACCACAGAAATGTTGCTAAACAATAGGATTAACTGAAAAAGAGGAAGGGCTAGCTCCTTTGTAGTAACCATTCATAAAATTGGTTTCAATTAAGTTTCTGTATTTTACAAAAGGAAAGGTACCATGCAGGCAGTGAAAAAATTGCCCAAGTGCTCTTTTTACAGATAGTCTTGGGAGATGCTTATGTATAAAATTTGTACATATATAAAATATATAAACACAGTATATAATCTATAGCTCTGAGAGCTTCTAAGTCAGGAATGCTGAGTATTATAGTATATCAAGGTCAAATGAAAAGGGTTTTAGTGAGTGCGTGCGTGTGTTTGGTCTGTGTGAGCCCGCATGTGTGCACATACATGTGCATGCACACATTTTTTTACTTCCCCCTCCCCCACTCCTCTTTCCTGAGTACTTTGAGCTACACCATTCTGGCGCTTATTATTATTACTGTTGTTTTCAGTTATATTATTTCACTGCAGTTTTTATATATATATATATTTTAGATGATGAATTATAAAATGATGTCAGTTGTTTAAAGCTCCTCTCGTCCCCAGATTCTTCACTTTGTGCTTTGTCTCTTTGGCAGCTATACTAAGGCAAAAACAACTGGGAAGCAGGAAGGGAATGGATGGGCTGTTTTGCTTTTGTCTTCTTGTTTTGCTTTTGTCTATTTCTAGGGGGAAAGTTTGCTCAGTTTTTGGTTTTGTAGCAATATACTCCAGACTTGAGGAGTTGTTCAGCAGCATTGCTTAAATGTGAGAGACTTGTGCCCAGAGACAAGTTTAGTGGTTTAAACAGCATCTTTATTTGAGAAATCACAAATTTACCTGAAGGTAACTAATTATGGAAAAGGAGAGAATTACCCGCTTGAGCAAAAATAATTATGACTAAGAGTGGGACCACGTGATCAGCAGCCTTGTCCGATGTTTACTGCTAAACTGAACCAGCTTATGTTGCTGGCAAGCAACTAAATATTTGGTTGCTTCCATAAGTATTTTGTAAAAATCTTGCACACAAGAAAGTAGCATGTTAGGAAGAAAACTTTGTAGTCTTCTCACTCAGGCATTTAAGTTTTTTAAATGTGGGGAGGTTTTTTTACATGAAAAGACAAATATTCTGTACCCTATCTGTGGTGGTACAGACCACAAGTTGACAAATTTGAGGACCCCCAGCTTGCTTATTTAGGACCTGCAATTCACATGCCTCTCATTTCTCTTAACTAATCAGCTGACTCAGGATAGCCCTAAAAAGAGGCTCTTATTTCAAGGGGATCTGCACAGGGTGGTACCAAAGATTTACATGTCAGTGATTTAGATTTTAAGGTTTAGACATACAATAGAAGCTAACATGTAATGTAACATGTAACATCAGAACAATCCTAGGAGAATTAGGGGGATTGATTACATTTCAGTGGCAGTAAGTCCATTTTATAGTTTCTGTACAGAATTAAATATTCCAGGGATTAAAGTACAAAATAATCAGATTATTAATACCTAGAGATGGTGTTACATTGCATAACCAGCTCTTTCTGTTGAAAGCACAACTCTGAATATTTCCATATGGTAATTAATTGAGGCAAGTTAATTAGCAGCTATAACACTGAATCTTTTAATGTAAAATGCATTTATTTGCATATAGTACAAACCCATGGTTGTATGTTTTCTGCCTTTGGATGGATTTTGTTAATTTTCCAAATTTGTGAAGATGATCCCAATGAGTTCTGAAGCATGTTGAGAAGCACAACCAGCTTTGGGACTGTTAACTAACTAAATTAATGGTGCTGAAATTGTAGCAGTCCACTGCTTTGTAATACATTCTTCCATTCTGTAATGGAAACGGATTGATCTATTATATAACTTCCGAGATGAGAAACCTTTAGGAAGTGGACTGGAATGTAACCCCAAGTATTTCAGTCTGAAATTTATTTTATTAAATGTATGCAAACCATAGTTGAGGATGAGCAAATCTTTATTTAACATAGATGTTACGTACTTTTGGTACTGCAAGTGCAGGTCTCCAATAGACAGAATAAAACCTCTTCACTTTTCAAAAAAGTTTTCGCAGTCAGGAATTTATTGAGTTCTTTCAGAATCATTATTATGCATCATTATACCTTGTTTACATCATCAAGGAATCTCATGACATCTTGCTGGAACCTCTTACTCACTTTCTCAGGGTTTATATACACAGAGCATTTCACTATTTTGTTTCTGTATCAAGAGATGCAGACTGTGTTTCTCTGGCATGTAAGGTTAATCTGTATGTTGTCAGTGACCTCTAGTTTACCACAGTGTAAAGAGAAGACACTTGTTGAGATCAAGCTAATTTTGACACTCATGGCTGCAAAAAAAAAAAAACAACAACAACAACTATTGAGGTCCAATCATCACCATGCATTTGCAGAGTCTTCTGAATGTGATCCACTCACAACTCTGCACCTATAAGGACTATGCTTACAAGTGGCCTCTTTATCGTATAGTGGACCTGGGGCCCCATCAACACACACTATTTCATGGTTATTCTCTTCACTTTAACACCATTTCTTGATTGTTGTGTTGAGCATAGAAACAAACAAATCCAAGCCCAGGGAAGTTTAAGAGTTTGTTTTAAAAAGAACTGTTTGCGTTAACAAGTTTTTGCTGTGCTGTACTTAAGAGAATACTGTATCCAAGCCAAGCTCCATGTCTGGCTAAGGTTACATACCTTAGCCAGATGTTTGAGATGATGGACAATCTGAGATAGAATGAAGTACTAGGGTAAAAACTGTTTAGGTAAAACAGGAAGGCTATAATGAACAGCTGAGAAAACATTTTGAAAGTTGTACTTTATCTAGATAACAAGAAACTAAATGTTACAAACAACTAGATTATGTCCTGGAGAGACATTCTGGCTGGAGCAGTAATAGGATAAGGGGAAGAAAGCTGAGCACTGAAAAAAACATCTTTGATAAAGTTGCCTCTTTTTATGTTTGGGTATCAGTTTTCACATTAAGAATTTACAGTACAGAATTTCTTTTGAGGAAGATGGGAAATTTCTGGAGTTGGGATGGCTCTTTTTGCATAATAAATTCATTTTTCCCCCATTTCTGATTCTTTACCCAAAACAATCAGCACAGAACAGGATACTGAACTTTAAAAATGCTTCCTGGTAAAATTAGACTACTAAACACAGAAAAACATACTAGAGATAGATTATGTTGAGAATTCCCTCTTTCCTTGAAACATCCCTGTTTTGATTTTGTAATTTATCCTTTTGTGCTTTGTTTTTAATGTACTGAGTTACACCACATTTTATTAACATTATGTACATACTAACTGCTTTGTGTTTCAGAATGCTAGTAATGGCTTTGTATATTAAAGTGGTCCTTGTGAATTTGTGAATTATTGTTATAAAAGTGCTTTTTCTTACTGTAAAATTTGTGGTATAAACTGTCCTGATGCCCTTTTTACACATTTATG